TGGATGGCATCACTGACTCGATGGACATGAGTTTGAGTAAACTCCAGGATTGGTGATGGACAGGGAGGCCTGGCGTACTGCGGTTCATGGGGTCACAAAGAGTCGGACACGACTGAGCGACTGAACTGAACTGAACGAAAATAATGAAACTATTCAAGTAAATGTGTGGGAAAACTAGAATGCTTATTAATTGCAGATGGAAATGCAAATTGATATAATCCTTCTAGAAAGCAGTTTAAAAATACATGTAACATGCCTTAAAAAAAAACCCAAAAAACATAGAAATGGGAACCCAGAGGAAACAGGCATAATATAGGAAGTGGAATAGGAAAAAACAAGTCACAAACAAAGGATGGGGAATCAAAACAATATTTGATTCTGAAAAGCAACACCAAAGGTATTAGGACAATTAACTTTCAAATATTTAACAAACAATGCCGGCCAAATTTTGTGGTGGTGATAGTCGTGGTTTCGTCGCTAAGTCGTGTCCAACTCTTGGGATCCCATGGACTGTAGCCCACCAGGCTCCTCTGTCCATGGGATTCTCCAGGCAAGAATGCTGGAGTGGTGTGCCATTTCCTTCTCCAGGGGATCTTCCTGACCCAGGGATCAAACCTGGGTCTCCTGCACTGCAGGCGGATTCTTTTCCAACTGAGCTGCCAGGGAAGCCAAGTGTGAAGATAAAGACACTTTCATACAAGCAAGGACAGCAAAAATTTAGCTCAAGTGTCCTTCTTAAGAAGCTACTATAGTATGTGTTTCAGTAAAGGAGTTATAACAACAAAGGAAGGCAGCATGGAATACAAAAAAAAACAGGGACCCCACCAAAGGAAGTCACAGAACTGAGAGGCAGTGTGGTGAGCAGCAATTCAGAATGGATCAAAGGGACTAAGGATAGCAATAGTCCACCTAGAACCACAGACTCAGTACATCTCTTTTCCTTTTTAGAAAAGATTTGGGTTGCTTACCACCAAAAGACTAGAGAAACATTAAGACTTTCCTGAAGATAGAAGGAGAGGATAAACAGGCTAAGGGGAGGAAAGTCGGAAGGATGTACAAGTGGGAGGGGACATGGGTAAACCTATGGCTGATTTATGTTGATGTTTGGTAGAAATCAACGCAGTACTGTAAAGCTATTGTCCTTAAATTAAAAATATTAAAATTTTAAAAAAAGAAACAGGCTAGGATCCCGGTAAATATAAACACACAGAGATTGACTGTATAAGTCAGTAATAATAAAGTCTAATATGGCAGGGGGTGGTGGAAACAAAAGAAGATAGAATTAAAACCCTGATAAAAATAATGTGTAAGACAAATGCCAAGGTCCTTAAATTGGAGGGGGTCATGGATTAACTTAGATTTTAAGTATGCATATTAAGATTATAAGGGTTAACAGTTAATAATTAAAACTTTATACCATCTTTGAAGTCAGAACTGCACTTAATTCATCGCAGCACTGTTTACAACAGCCAGGTCATGGAAGCAACCTAGATGCCCATCAGCAGACGAATGGATGAGGAAGCTGTGGTACATATACACAATGGAGTATTACTCAGCCATTAAAAAGAATGCATTTGAATCAATTTTAATGAAGTGGATGAAACTGGAGCCTATTATACAAAGTGAAGTAAGTCAGAGAGAAAAAACACCAATATAGTATATTAACACACACAGATGGAATTTAGAAAGATGGTAACGATGACCCTATATGCTCCATGGCTGATTCATGTCAATGTATGGCAAAAACCACAACCATAGTGTAAAGTAATTAGCCTCCAATTAAAATTAAACAAAAAAAAAAGAATTGCACTTAGAGTAACCCAATAGCCCTAGCTAAAAAGAAACCTCTTCCTTATCAGAGAATTTCAGCTAGTAAATACAAAAGAAATAAAAATTAGAAAGTGACCATTTTGCAGCCCCTAACTAAAAAAAAAAAAAAAAGGATCCAGCAAAGATTACCGATGAACAGTGAAACAACATTAAAAAATTGATAGAGAATGAAATATTTGCAAAGTAAATATTTCATGGGTTACTTGTGAGTCACAAGAGGAAAAACCAAACACCATGTTGAAGGCATTAGGCTTACCCCATCTGAACCGAATGATAAATATTCTCATCACTATTTTAATGGAATGAGACATTATGTGCAACTTGACATGATATAATGGGAAGTAAACAATATTTGCTGTCTGTGATGTATAGCCTTGCCAAAAATGCTTAACCTGAATCTAATCAAGCCTTTGGCTCTTGTAATTTACAAGAAATACAGGGACTAGAAGAACGAGTTAAACATGACTACAAGGAAGCAGTCAGACCCAGAACTGAGGACATTCTACAAGACAACCAACCTGTCCTTAACTAGACAATGTCATAAAAAGAAAAGGTGAGTGTGGGAGGGAGGAGAGGAGTAGTCTAGATTCAGACACACTTAAGAGACATAAAACATAATGACCAAAAGCTACAGAGAGACCGAGATTTGATCCTAGTACACACTAAGTAACTGCAAAAGCTCTTTTGGAAATAGCTGGAGAAATCTGAATACAAATTTAGTACTAAGTTATATCAGAGAATTATAGTTAATGTCATTAAGTTTTGATGATAACATTGCAAATATGTACAAATGTCTCATTTTTAACAGACCCCCATTAAACTATTTAAAAAGCAAGTCTCTTCCTTTCTGCAATTTACTTTTAAACATGTAAAGAAAAAATAAATATATGAAGCAATTATGGCAAAAGGTCAGCATTTGTTACATATAAAAGATGTTTTCTCACTAAACTAGTGCTTCTCACACTTTAACATGCTCATGAATCAACTGGGGCCTTGTTCGCATGCAGATTCTGACTCAGCAGTTCTGGGCTAGGCCCTAGAGTCTGCATTTCTAACAGGCACTCAAGTGATACCAAAACAATTGCTTCATGGACCACATTTTCTGTAGCAAGATATTGCAGTATTTTTTACGCATTTCTGACTGCTTGACAAAATCATTAAAGCTATTCACTAAAGAAAAAGACTTGAGTGCATAAAATTCAAAACAGAAGAGACATAGTCAAAGGGAAAATAAATTCTGAAGGAAGTATCACCAGCAAAGCCCATTCTGGATAAAAAGTAAATTCTAACCTTTTTTTTTCCTTTTCCTTTGTGCTTAGCATTCACTTGCTTGTAGGATGCCGAGTCCAGAAGCCCTGCAACCAACACTCCCAGTGAGAAATGGCTGGGCCTATGCTTCCTCGTAGGGAAGCAGGACGCCTCAATCCAAGATCGGCAGCAACGGGCCGTGTGCAGAGACGTTGGGCTGGGAGCTGGAGCCTGAGCGGCACAGCTGCACCCAATCTGCAAGAATTCCACCCCCTCCTCTCCCTTCCCCACTGACAAGAACCCTATAAAGTAGCCCTACCCACAGCCACTCAGGAGAGCAAGTACTCTCATGTGTGTCCATTCTTTAACAGAGGAATAAAACTTTCCCTTGCTTCTGAACCAAACTTATTCTACTGGCTCCAACCACACTGGGCAGGAAGACCGTTGTTGGGTACCAGCTCTAAAGGGTCAGCAAGAAAAGCAGTAGTAGAAAAAAGGAGGGCATATAGGAAACAGTCAGGATGAGACAGCAAAAGACAACTCAAAAATAAATCTGGGTACATCAGGAGTCACACACAAAAAGTTAACTCAATTTACCAGTTAAAAGACTGAGATTGTCAAACTGGAAAAACTAGTAGTAGAAGAACTGAAATATAAGGCACTAACCAAGATAAAAGCTTTTGTAGCTATAGTAATGCAAAATAGAATTCAAGGCAAAAATACCAGGTTGAAAAAGTTCCCCAGGTTGAGAAGTTTTAAAATACTATACTGTGGAAATCTTATAAAATGAAATACTCTTAAGAGCAGTGAAAAGGAACAAACCAGAGTAAAAACAGTAAATTATAAGAAGATGTGGGAATTGCCCAGCAGTCCAGTGGTTAGGACTCTGTGCTTCCACCGCCGAGGGCCTGGGTTCAGTTCTTGATCAGGTAAATAAGATCCCACAAGCTATCTGGCATGGCCAAAAAAAAGAAAGTGTGCAATATTATACCATTTCTATAAAGTATAAAGCCAGGCAAAATATATATGCACACTCATGTATATGTATATAAAGTATGCGGACACATGTGTGCACATGTGTATAGTTTAGGAATACATAGACATACGGGAAAATTATAAGGAAGTACATGGGAATGACAGAACATGAATTCAGAACAGTGGATCCTTCTCAGGGAAGGGAAACATGGGTGTGGTCTGGAAACATTTTATGTATTAAATGGCTCTGGGATTTATTACACTAGTCTTTGTATTTCATATTTTTTTCAAAGATGATGGAATGAGAACACGTACTCACTCACCATTGGTTTAAATCCCATTGTAATGACAGGGGAAAAAAAAATTTTTTTTTAATGAATTCTTAAAAAAAAAAAAAAAAGAATGAATTCCTAATAGCTCCAGAAGCAACAGCAAAAAGGGGACACAAGCCATCAGACTAAAACAGTGGGAGTTCTTAGAGTAATAAAAGTAGAGAAACCCGTAGCAGGCCAAAAACAAGAGCAGTCCTCCAGGAGAGACTTGAAGCTCACAGTCGTGACTTAAAGCACAGCTTGGTTGCAAATACCCTGCGAACTCTCCAAAGGCAATCGAACACCTGAATTAATTAATTAAGGGATTCACCTGCAGCAGTCATGGTGGACTACCTGGGCCAAACTAAGTCTTCTCTTTCTCCCCCTCCCCCCATGATACCTGCCCTCCTCTCCACTGCTTTTCCAGCCACTGAGCAGTAGCCAGCAATGGTTTTTGAGCCCAGTGTAAAAACTCAGTGCTTTTCTAACCCAAAGCTATGTAAACTATCAGCTGAATCGGGCTTACAGATATATTTCATTTGGTCTGCAGAACACTTACTGAAAACTTAAACAAAAATCCAAATTTTCAACATCTTGGGAAAAAAAAAAAACATAAGGACAAGCACCTTGGGCCCCTCATTCCTGAATGAGGGACAACACGGCAGCATCTCAGTTTTCTGCTCTTCTGGAGCTGAAGTTTCTACCAGTCCTTGGCCTGTCTGGCCCTTGCTGTTATTTTCCTTTTTTCTTCTGCCCTAGATCGTGTTTCCAGACCTTTCTGCTGTGCTTGCTAAATGTTAGGTTTTTCAGGCCTTTTCTCTGGAGATTCTGGTTTAGGGAATGTTATGGATTGAACTGTGCCCCTAAAATTCATATGTTGACATTCTAATCCCTAAGTTCCTCAGAAGGTGACTTTATTTGGAGATAGAGTCTTTACAAAGGTCATCAAGTTAAAATAAGGTCACTCAGGTGAGCCCTAATCCAATATGACTCACCTTATTCTTGCCTGGAGAATCCCATAGATGGAGGAGCCTGGTGGGCTACAGTCCATGGGGCGCAAAGTGTCGGACACGACTGAGCGACTTCACTTTCACTTTCTTTCACTTTCACTTGGTATCAAGTCCAGAAATTTGTGCTTTTAATAAATGCAACAAACATGGGCACAAGTTGGAATGATCTGTGAAGCTTTTTAAAAAAAGAAAAAGATACTGACCCTGGTGTTTCAATTCCAGAGATTCTGACTTCACTGGTCTAGGGTGGAGCCTCAACATCAGGATTATCTGAATTTTCCCAGGTGACGCTATGGAGAGTATGTTTGAGAAAAACCAGCTGGGGAACACTCTTCTATAATACCAGATTTGATATTAATATAATAGTTATATTTTAGTTCACTGTTTTTCATTTCTTAGTTTTCTCATCTGTCAATACTGTTGATAGCTACCACTTATTAGGGCCCTTCGATGCGCTAGGCACCTTCTAAGTTGTCTCATTTAACCACTAGCAGTCTCTAAATTTGATTCTTCTCTACAGTTGAGGCAAGTGGGGCTCCATGAGATTAAATAGTCAGTTGAAGTTCACACAGGCTCTTAAATGTCAGTCTATGAACCAGTGTCTTTCCACATTACTATTTAGTCTTCCAGGAAAATAGGTTAAACCAGGTGACCTCTAAAAATGCATCCAGTTAAAAAACTCTTTACTAAGTTTAAAAAATATTTTTAGAGTTTTTTCAAAAACTCTTTAAGATTCATGTGCCTCTGTCTACAAACTCCAGAACCTTCTACTTCTAAGCACAAATAAATGAACAAAATGGACTCTGTCTTTTTCACTTTTTAAGGCAGGAAATTATTAACAATTTACTTAAATCTATTTCATGGTAATGAAAAGTAAAGCAACAGTAGCACATATAAAACAGACCCCTGGTGGAACAAGACAGTCAAAAGTGAACGTTCATGATAAATTATTGTTGTCCATAATCTAGTGAGACTCAGTGGCTTAAGTATCCATTTCCTTTAGAGGCCTAAAGGAAACTATTTCCTGCCATAGACCCTGGGATTACTGCAATAATCTCTCTCTCTCTCCTTCTGTTTTTTTTTGGGGGGCCATGTCATGTGACTTGCGAGATCTTAGTTCCCCAATCAGGGAATCAGTTGGGGAATCAGTTCCCCAATCTGTGCTCTCCAGTGGAATCGCAGAGACCTAACCACTGGACCAGCAGGAAAGTCCCATCACAGTAATCTCTTTAAAGATGTTTTATGTTAAAACATGCATTGTATGCTGTATCTTCCTCATAATTCTTGCCATTTAATTTGCAAAAGGATAATGCATGTCTTTGAGTTCATCCATTCTTTTCATTTCATATTTATGGAGGGCCCACCATATGCAGATCCTATGCCAGGGGCTTGGGATACATTGGAGAACCAAACTGTCTGCCTGCCCTCATGGAGCCTAGGGAGACAAGTCAATGAGAATGTCAGTAACTGAGAAAATCACAGATTTTGAAAAATGTTAGGAAAAGAAAAAATCAGGATGAGGAAATGTAGTTTCTAGGGAAGAATACTTCAGATAAGGAGGTCAGGGAAGACCTCTCTAAAGAAGGGATATTTGACTTGAAACCTGAAGAGTAAGAGGGGTCTGGGTAGACAAAAGCTGGGGAGACACAAGAGTAGTTAATACAAAGATCCTAAAGGAGGGATGAACTTAGTGTGGTTGGGGGATAGCAAAGGCTGATGTGATTGAAACTTCATGAGAAAAGAGAAGAACACTATCAGATGAGGTTCAGCATGGGCAGGCCACAATAAAAGGAACCTTGGAAAGGAATCTGCATAACAGGTTATTGATATTTCTCCTGGCAATCTTGATTCCAGCTTGTGCTTCATCCAGTCCTGAATATTCACTGGAAGGACTGAGGCTGAATCTGAAGCTCCAATACTTTGGCCTTCTGATGCAAAGAACTGACTCATCAGAAAAGACCCTGATGCTGGGAAAGATTGAAGGCAGGAGGAAAAGGGGCCCGACAGAGGATGAGATGATTGGATGGCATCACCGTCTTGATGGACATGAATTTGAGCAAGCTCTGGGAGTTGGTAATGGACAGGAAGCCTGGCATGCTGCTGTCCATGGGGTCATGAAGAGCTGGACACGACTGAGCAACAGAACTGAACTGATCACTCTAATGACTGAATGCAACAGCTACTTGATCTCCCAATGCCTTGTTCTCTTCCTGTCCTTCATCTCATCTCCACACAGTGATAATCTGAATAATCTTATGGGATTATATTTCCCATTTGCCATTGGCAAATACAGTATCTCTATTTCTTTAAATAGATGTGCAACCCAGACCCAGAATCCATTCTGAGTGTTTATTTCCTAGACAGTGGGGCTACTTATGAGAACAAGTTTTATGTCAGTCAAGATTCCAGAAAAAAACAGATGACTCACTAAAATTGGATAATTTAAAGAGAGTTTTTAAGAGACTATTTATAAGGATATGAGCTGAGTATAGGGAACCCACAGAGCACAGATTGTACCCTCAGGCTAGGAACAGCATAGCATCATTACTACCCTAGACCCGAAGGAGGTATGAGAATGTCTTTTCAGAGTTGGAAGGCAGAGAAGTCTACACAGAGAGAATCATCAGATCTTCTCTCTGCTTTTTCTCAGCTTGCCCATGGTGACCCCAAAGGGACGGAATCAGGGAGATAATCTGAACTCTTCTTTCAGGGATAAACATGGAAGGAATCTAATTGGAAGGCCAAGGGTAAGGACGTCCGTGAACACAAACAACACTTAAGGTCAGGCTCCCAGGTCACAGTGCAGGGCAGCAGAATACAGTTAACCTAGGGGAACAAAGGGAAGATACCTTGTGGTTTTTAAGACTTAACTTTTGTGTTTTTATGTTCAGTTCAGTTCAGTCACTCAGTCATGTCCAACTCTTTGCGACCCCACGAACCGCAACACGCCAGGCCTCCCTGTCCATCACCAACTCCCAGAGTTCACCCAAACCCATGTCCATTGAGTCGGTGATGCCATCCAACCATCTTATCCTCTGT